TGGCTTTACCAAAATATATTTGACACAATTGAATTCTCAAAACAATTTGGCAAGTCAAGTCGCCAATTTTATAGATGAAGAAACTGGACGTGAATAAACAATTTACTCAGGGTCAAAGAACTGAAAAGTCCGAGCTTGGGTTTGAGTCTAGATCTATATGAATTCAATTCTGATGCTTTCTATCTCATGATAGGTGGATCTCCATTGGTACTTCATAAACTTAAAGACCATACGACATATTACTCCCTGGCCACTACGTCCCAGATTCAAGGTTGTGTTTTGTTGGTTGTTTTGTGTTTTTTTGATAGTCAAGGTTCGATCACACTAAAACAAAATTAGTGTTTAATTTATGTCAGACATTTGGTCTCTAACCCTTTGAGTTTCCTTATCTGTAGAAGGGGCTTGGTAATAGCAATTTCAGAGCACTAATGTTGAATCAAATGAGTATTGGGTACATAGGAAATTCTTAATAAGTAGGGCCTATAGTTAAAAATGTTATGTTTTATGTTATCTCAAGTGTTCATGTTTAAGTTTTTGTGTAAAATGAGGAGTGAGGCTCAATATCTTTAGGACCATTTCTAGCCCAAATCCATGAGACACAGGTGTTAAACAACAATAAAAATAAGGTATTGAAACAATGAAGCCATTGGCTATAGGTATCGTGGGGAGTCCTCCCACAAGAAGGGAACCAGGCTTGTGACATCAGCCCAATACTTACTTGGAATATAAGTTTGGGGTATATGATTTGATATTAACAGGATTATATTGTCTAATTTAACAAGGGCATTCAATGGAAAAAAGATCATGATTTGTTTTCTTCAAAACTGGGGGATATGGATTAGTTTGAAAGCAACTTTTAAAAATGCATTAAACAAAAAAAGCTAGGATAGACATGATTAACAACAATCTAATTTATGGTAACACACCCATGGACTTCATTTTCATGCTAATATGTTCTTTCTTTTCTCTTCCCTAGCCAGACCTGTCATGTACCTAGCATCCTTTTTGTTCCCATCACCTTTGTTATAAAACACTTCCTTATAATGCCCAACATGCCTGCTTCCCACAGCTAGGATTACATGGAAGGTGGGACATTCTCAAACTTTTTTGTACATATTGCTGTAACATGCCCTAATTTTGCATTATATCAACCAGATCCTGTATCCCCTTACTGAATGGCCTACTCATTGAGTTGCCTAAGCTACTGTGACTAAGCTACTTCTCAAGTATCTGGTTCCCATAGAGACAGAACAGCTATCACATTGTCAGGCATTCATTTCTTTATATGCCTGTAGAGTAAGGCCCAACCACATGCTCCCTTAACAATGCTCAGAGACACCACCAAAACTATGCTCCGAGAAAAAAGGCTTGCCCTTCAACTGCTTTAAGACTTCTCTCCTTAGTGAAAGGAATGAAAGGGAGGAAAGGTGTTCGGATCAGCTTGGCTATTATTATTGTTTGGAAGAATCCTTGTTGAACCACGTATTTTTACAAGGCGTGATTATCAGATTTGAGAGCAAATTCTTCCTGACTCTAAAGTTCTCTAATAAAAAGAACATTAAGCAAGCCTCCTTGCATGCTGCAGGCTACAGTTCAACATCCTCAGCAATGTGTCTTTAGAAGGGATGCCTCGTGACATTGAGACAACAGGTGTTCAGTGCAAAAGAGGTGTTCGCAAACGTTGAGTATGAAATCATACTAAGAGTGTCTGAGGACCTTCTGATTCAGAGCTGTGTACTGCTGACGCTAAACCTGTCATCTGAAGACCTGTCCATTCCCACATGTCCCAGGCTCACCTTCCAACCACCTTCTTGCCTGGTCCAAGTAGATGTCTTCCTCATCTCAACAAATACACAACTAGCTTCCCAGCTGCTTAGGACAAAAACCTGGGAATGTTTTTTTCACTCCCCTCTGTTACTGCCCACCAGTACAAGCCAAGTCCTTTACAAATCCTATTTTTCTACTTCCAATACAATCCAAAAGCCAGTGAGTTCTCTCCATCTCTACTGCTAGTACATCGGGTCACCCCAATACCTCCTTTCAGTTCCCCAACCCTCTTTCCCCATCATTGTTCTCCACACACAGCCAAAATAATTTGAAAATCTAAATCAGATCTTGTCATGTCCTCCCTTGAAGTCCTTCAGTAAATTCTTCTGGGATGTGCAATGAGATTAACCCTCTTGACATGCTGTGTACTTGCCCTCATCCTACCACACATCCTGACTCTGCATCTTCATCGCTGAGCTCAGCCACACTTGCCTCTAACATCAAACCGTTTCCTCCTTCTGTGCTCACTGCTTTCTCTGCTTAGAACTCTCTTTCTCCTGATGGCCACATTATCAACCAGCCTCTTTTATTCTGACCCTGGTTCAAAGTCATACTCAGGAAGACCTTCCCCAAACATGCCTTCCAAGGTTACTTTCTTCCCAACCCCTGCCAACTTATAAGTGAATGGTTAACTTACATTTAAATATTTCAGATCACCCATAATAAAGAATATATATACATTTGGTTTTGAAAATTATAGGAGATAAAACTTTTTATCATATGCTCTAGGATGAGAAAACTAAACAAAGTAACAAAATACTATTTGATAAAACCTCAAAATACTGATGGCTGATACTTTTAAAAATAAAATTTGTGGTACTTGTAATGCTTTGTTTAGATATTGTTGAGGGTCTGGATGAAAAACCCTAAGCTGCCAGTGGTTTCTAGGTTAGGTGTGAATTCCATGTGAAAACCAATGATTTATGGCCTGGGATTGACACAAGGTCATTAGGTCATGGGGATGCTCACCACCTCACCCAAAGTTGGTCCCTTTCAGTGGTGAACAGAGCCCTGATCAAGACAGCTCTCTTTGCATCAATCTCGCCCTTAATGAGAAAGCTTTCAAAGATTCGACACTTTCTGGATGGTTTTCAAATGCTGGTGTTCTAAATGCATGCTCATTTCAATGCTTTCTTCCTTAAGAGTTAGTTGTAGGGACATTAAAATTGTTTGATTAAGAAGATCTTCAGGGTTCTTCCTACTAATGATACATTGATATTTCAGCTACTAATCCTTAGTTTGTTAAGTAGTAGTCTCGTGGAAATACTAGTAATAATATTCATAGAAATACTAGTAATTGTATTCATAGAAGGAGGAAGACCAAAACATGCCACAGCTAATATTTATCGAATCCTTATTATGTGCTAGTCACAGCGTAGAGACTTTCTTTGAATGATTGAGTCTATGGCTTTATTTTTTTTTCTTAATAATAATCATACTGTACTTTTGTTCACTGTCTCCTTCTCATAGAAAATCTAACAATAAGATAGGGCATTTTGTGCTTTACAGATAACTTATTTCTGAATAGAAATTCAAAGGGTGGAATATTCCAGAATATGTTTGTTCTTACAAATGTGCATTTTTTTCCAGCCTTTTTTTGGGGTGGGGGGTTAGGTATCTTCAGGGTTAAGATAAGGAAAGCTGCATTGTGAAGCTCAACTGATAATTCCTCAACTTTCACTGACAAAGTATACCTACATGGCAGCATTCAATATGTATGTATCGAAAGAATGGGTGCCTGGATAAAATCTGTATCGAGAGAATATGTTTTATGGGTATCAATTTTAACATTTAGTTGTGATAAACACCTGGAGTCACCAAGACACAGAATTCACATCCTAAGGCTCTGAACCAATGGCTTCAATGATGTTAGACTTGTAAAATGATTTCAAGTTTAAAAAAATGAAAAATACCATATTCACAGGATAACTTCAGAAATTACCTATCACCACTTTAAACAACACAGTTTTTGTGTAGGAAAAGTTTATGAAACCACCAAGGAATAAATCAAAAAGATTTTCTCAGGTTTTTGAGAAGCCCAAAAGCAGAACATGGAGGCTGAACTTCTACTCATAAAAGGTAGTCTCTGGGGCGCCTGGCTGGCTCAGTGGGTTAATAAGCCTCTGCCTTCGGCTCAGGTCATGATCTCAGGGTCCTGGGATCGAGTCCCGCATCGGGCTCTCTGCTTGTCAGGGAGCCTGCTTTCTCCTCTCTCTCTCCCTCTCTCTCTGTCTGCCTCTCTGCCTACTTGTGATCTCTCTCTGTCAAATAAATAAAATATTTAAAAAAAAAAAAAAAAAGGTAGTCTCTAATATCCTTTCTTTCTTCCTTCCTTCCTTCCTTTCTCCTTCCTTCCATCCTTCCTTCCTTCCTCTCTTATCTATCTATCTATCCATCCATCCATCCATCTCACAGAGAGAGAGAGAGAGAGACAGTGAGAGAGGAACACAAGCAGGGAGAGTGGGAGAGGGAGAAGCAGACTTCCTTCTGAGCAGGGAGCCTGATGCAGGGCTCAGTCCTAGGACCCTGGGATCATGACCTGAGCTGAAGGCAGATGCCCAACAACTGAGCCACTCAGGCACCCCTGTAAAGTTCTTTTTTATATACCACACCAAGGTAAGTATTGTAACAACAGTATTTGTCCAATTGCCATTCAGAGGCCCAATCTTACATACCATTCACGTAATTTAGCCTCATGACAAAGGGATTTATAAAGACATTCATAATGTGTGTTTTGAAAGTAAAATACTAAAACTGCTAATCACTGAAGACAAGAACATGTAAAATACTTGCTCCACTGAATATATTATGAATAATAAAAGTAAAAGAATGGTGCAAATAAAAAAAACAAAAATTGTTCTATGTCTCTCTATATTTTATTTTTTCATCCTAGAACAGTATCCAAACACTTTTATTCATTAGGGTCTGAAATCAGAATAAATTTAATTGCATAAACTTTTTCTCATTTTTAAGGACCTAAAAAAACTCCTTTTGTTCATTTATATATTTTTGCCTTACATATATATTGGACTCTATCAATAAATTAAGACGTTCCCCTTTCATACTTTAGATTTATTATTTAAAGTTAAACCACATTCCCATCTGGACAAAAAACTCAGTTCCAGGCATATTTATTCTAAAGAAATTAAAAACTGATGTCTCTTGGTACTCACCCTCCCATATCTGTTGGCATAGGACCCAGTGAGCAAGGAATGGAAAACGATGATTGTCTCATCCAAGTCCCAGATGAACACCCTCTACAAAGGAAGAACCAAATCAATACGTCTTTCCCTTGGTTGAGAAACCTGTTATTCAGTGAACTTCAACATAAATAAGCACTCTTAAAATAGAAGACAGAAGAAAAACCTGAATTTACTGTGTTTTTAAAATACAACTGTTCCAAAGAGCATCCTCTAGCTTTTCTCCAGAGTATAGCATTAGGTGAGATATAAGAGAATAATCATATTAGTGACATCAATACAAACATGGGCAAGAAATAATAATATATGTCCTTTCTACTTCTGAAGTATATTCTTAGTTTACTCTTCTGAAAAAATGAACAATGAGCTAAAACTAGTCTGTTTATAACTTCTTGAGACAGAGAGAGGCCAATGAATTAAAACTCATACATTTTTCTTACCTCTTCTGCTTATTAAGAAGCATTAAAATAGTGAATCTTATGTTTGATTTTCATCAAGCCAAGTATTAAAAAACTACACCTAAAACCTAAACTTCACATCAACTATTCACCTTATGCTACCTTTGGACTGTTATCACATGGATGGGTTATGTATGACTCCTGTCTGGTTTTCTTCAGACTGCAGACAGTTAACAACTTAAGCAGACACATCACACAGGCTCTTGACACACTCAGGGTATTTGGAATCAGATTTACAGGAATTCACTTCAAAAACACCTTCGAGATACCACAGAAGCCTCCCAAGCCTACTTGTCTTCTTCCCCTTTCCACTCATACCAATATATATTCAGACACATGGGTTCTGCTGGGAAATTTCCATCTTTTCAGCCAAAATAATCATGTTTTCCACCATCAGATTTCACTGGGCAAAATGCAGAAACTAATTGCAGTGGATTCAAGGCTATGAAATCTACCCTTCAAGGTTTTATTTAATCCCTCCTGCTTTTGAACTCCACCAAAACAGGTCTCATAAGGTTCAGTTATGAACCATTCAGTTTAGAACATCCCAGGTTTTCCTTTCTCAATATATATGAGTGTGTCTTTAATTTTCAAAGTGGATTTTAGTAAGTCTTTTTAGTATGACACTTAATTAAAATGACAATGATATAGAACAGTATAAAAGAATTTTCCTCATGCAAAAGGATATAATTTACTATATTAAAGAGAAATAAGCAGATGCTTTACATGTAGTTAAAATGGTAGAGAAAACAGAAGTTATTATTTTTAACTATAAGTAAAAGAAAAGAGAAAGAAAATGCTTTACTTATGATACAGAGAAGAAAGCAGTTACAAAGCATTTGGACATATTGATGACGGCCATTTACATTACAGATGTCTAGAACCACCCTTTAACTACCAAGATACTTTGTTATTTACCAGGGCACTGGCAATGACGTACCTCGAGGTCAGAATCCGGGGGAGGTGAAGGATTATTGTTTCTTCGGCCCCGTCCACGGGACTTCCCATCTGAACTTCGGCGCAATCGATCAGAATCTGAGTCTTTAATGGGTGTTGATGGGCTGTGGATTGTACTGTACTCTGTAGAAATACAGAAAGGCCTTTCATCTTTTGGTTCTATTACCATGGTGTCAAGATCAACCTTGTTTTAATTTTGGAGGAAGCTTGAAGAGTAAAACACATTTCATTCTGTTCCCTCTCGTTGCTGTTTACCTCCATTGATAAATAATTTATGAGATACTGAATACCAAGAATCCATTCTTTTGAAAGAATGTGTGATCAGAAATGAAAAAAAAATTAATTGATAGTGCAAGATTGGAGGCTGTAGGAAGCTGCCTAGTTTTTCTTTGTGGTTCTCTATGATGAGACAAAGCTTATCCATCCCCACTTCCATGTATGTGTTTTTCTTTTATTCCACACAAGCAGGGCCTGGCCATACCAAGAGAGATTCACACAGGTGCCTTATCAGCCACTCTCCCACCTATGAAAGGCTTCTGGTTCACAGAAAGAAAAGAAAAATCAACTCTGGGACAGGAAAAAACCGAATCCCAAGGCAGATGTTTCTTTGAAAATTTCAAAATCTCCTTTTCTCCCTCCTTTTATGTGAGAACAAAGGAGTGGCAAGATAAGGAAGAACATACATATGGGCAATACCCATACCTTGAGAGCATTCATCACAGATTCTTACTGTATCTTAGTCTCTGAACCAAAAATCCCAAACAGCACATTAAAATTGCTCACCTGGGTAACTCAGAGAAATCACAGAAACAGTTATACAGAAACGACAAAATAAAGAACCACCCCTAATGAGCTACAGGAAGGGCTGAGTAGTGGTGACTATAGAGTTGGGGTGGGGCACTCTTACCCTGTTCCAAAATGAACAAAAACCCCTTATAGTTTCTTTTTTTCTCCAGTCCATGCATTAAACAATTTCCACCTCCCCAAATGCTTTGCCAGATTTCTTTTCTGGATACAGTTTGGAATTTCCCAAGGTGGTATAAGGAATGATAATTCTTATTGAGATGTTGTTGATATTACATTTCACCAAACAGAAAAGTATTGAGAACAGCTGAATATCTGGTAGCCTCTGTTAATATACTATCATCCCTAACTGTATCCAGAAGGCCAGCTGTGTGTCAAACCATGTGGTCTCAGTATTACTTCCAAGTTTAAGGCTTAAGCCTTAGGAGGTGGGGTGGATAGGAATGGACTTCAACAGAGTAAATTCCACTTCTAAACCACATAGAACAGCCCTATATCTTCTGTTCAACTTTAAAATCCAAACAGATTCCTATCACTTTTGGATGAGACTTTTGCATGTCTTCTGCCATAGAAAACAAGACAGCAAACTTCTTCATATAAGCCAGTCATTGGGTCCTTGTACCCAGGAACCACCATCGTAATGTACAAGCTTGTTAGTTAATTATGGCCAGAAAGTCCAAAACAACTTTTCACTACGTCAGCATATGTAGTACCATGGGATGCATTTCTGAGCTAACCCATCTTGTAGAACTATCAAAATACAGTGCTGGCTGGTCAAAGTTTAACATTCTCCAAATCCACATGTGATCCTTTTCTTACAGAAGCAGAGGACTGTGGCATCCTCTCCTCAAAACGTTCGAAGCCAAGCATCTGCCTTCCATGTTTTATAGAGAATTAGGACCTCTGAAGAAATACATATTTTTAAGGAGCTCAGAGAATTCAAAGTTGTGTTTTGAAGAAAAAGTCTTGACCTCCTTCTTCTTTAAAAACTCTGCAACTACATCTCTGTGCAAACCTGCATAGCCACCATCTGAGACAGAACACATGCCAATTTCTTTACCAGTGTCAAAACAACATTTGCTTTGCAACTGGCATAACTGGCATTTAAATTTGACTCATACTTCAAGTATTTGACTGCAAAGTCCATCTTCAGTTGTGAGTTCTCCACCTTTTGCGGTTCATATTTGAGAAGAAGCTAAAAGATGTGAAGCAATGTATCATATTATATCATGTCTTTTGCTTTGACTTCTAGCTAGTTTAGGGCGAATTTTTTTTCTCCAAGTGTTTCATCTTGCCAAGGTTTTCTTACCCTAGATTTCTCCTATGGATTACCCATTCCTTTAGTTTTTGGTGTATATTTCTTTATTCCTGTGTTAAAACCCAATCAAATCTTTTTAAAAATGTACTCCATCTTTTTTTTCTTGAAATAAAAATGAATATTAAATTGATTACTCAATTCTATAAACCTATCCCCAAAGAAACTAAGTTCAATGAGCAAAGTATACAGGTAGATTTCTTAATTATCTTATCTAAAGATTTTCCAGGTGGAAAAAAAGCCCTAAAATATGGACAATCTGATACCTCTAAATATTAAAACACACATACACCCCTTATAGGCCTCAACTTATTAGAAGTAATATAAAAGTTAAATGATGCAAGCTAGATTTAAAAAAATCTCTTCCTCTTTGTTCTATGAGGTAGGAATAAACACTTCTATTCTCCTAACCAGTTTTCCTGACTCTATTCTCCTTCCTTCTATTAGTGTAAAACAACTCAACAAATAATTTTATCTTCTAATCCACTGAAATCTCATGTTTCATTAAAATCCTTTCCAAATTATTCAACTTTACCCCCACTAAGATAATGAATGTGAAAATAGAAGAGCATTTATTCCATTTAACAAACAATGACTGCATGCCCATACTATTTCAGGCACTGTACCAAGAGCTTGAAGTATGATGATGTACCATACAGATATGGTCTTTTTGGAGCTTAAAATTCAGAGGAAGGCACTGATTTATGAACAAAAATAAGAGATTAGAAAACAATAGAGAAAGGGTCATGACATGAGAAAGGTAGAGTGCTGGGAGACCATAGAGCAAGTCCACATAACTTAGATTTACAGGATTATAGAAGCGTCCTGAAGATGAAGAACAAACTGCTTCTAGTAAAAAATGGAATATAAATGTTCTCCAGGCAGGGACATGAGCATGTGTGACAGTGGAGAAAGAGAGAAAGAGAGAGGAGGGGAGAGGAGAGAGAATGTCAAAGAACTGGAAAAAAAAAAAAATTAATCTGACCCGATTCTACAGAGGAAGAATACAGAGATGAGGCTGGATTGGCAGGCAAGGAATTTAAGAATGGAGGGATGAAATCAAATTTCCAACTTAGATAGTTCTAGCTCCACTATGGGGCAGGTGCTGGAGGCAAGTCAAGAGTGAGAAGCAGAGACCAGCCAGGAGGATAATTCAGTGGGCGATTGGTGGCCCATGTAGGTAGTGGAGATAGGGAGAGCTACAGATACAAAGTGTCATTGGGAGGGAAAGGAAGAGAAAGAGGGAAGTCAAGGATGACACTGATGTTAATGGTTTAACAATAGGGAAGGCGAAGGTATAAGGCACAAGGCATGGGTTTAGGAAGAAGGGATTATGGGGAAGTGTGTAGATGAGAATTCACATTCAACTTTGAACATACTGAACTTGAAGAGTCTGTGGTATTCAAGATGTCCAGTAGGCTGCTAGACTGCTCTGAAGCTGAGGAAAGAAATGTGGGCTGGGTTTAGGTTTGGAAATTGATGCCATACATAATGTGATTAAAGATATGGGTATAATTAAAGACATGGAGAGTATGTAGAGGGACAGGCAGAGAAAAATGGGTAGGACATGAGGAAAAAAACAAAGGTTAGTGTGTTGTAGAGGAAAGAGTATGTCCCGAAGGAGAGAGTGATCAATAACTTCTGATCAGCCAAAAGATAAGCTAAAGTGAAGACGGACTCCAAGAGTACTTGGAGATTTAGAGTCGGTGAGGTCTTTGGCACACATGGCAAAAGTATAGATTTGAGAAGTATTGATGTGGTGGACTAGTGGGATAAAAATGAGATAGCAGAAGGTAGAAGAGTAAACAGGGGTTGTTACTGAAGACCCTATAATGGCCAAATTCAATAATTATATTTTAGTTCTTAGTCTTATTGTACTTTGCTGTGACTGTGCTGACCACTGGCTCTTCTAAACTGGGTTCCATTAGAGTAACTGACTTCTCGTCCTCCCACTTTTGCTTCTCACCCTCCCACTCACACTATTACTTCCGTCCCTTTAGAGTCTCTTCCTCTACCCAAAGCTTAAATGTTAGTGTTTCTGTATTAGTGATACTCAAATTGATCTGGGACAAAATAAGAAGCTTGTATCAGGATGTTAATTAATGCGATGCTTCCTTCATCAAAAGTCTTGCTAAGATTAAAAACAGAAGTTGAAGTACACAGTGTGCTCAGTGATGCTGTTGATTATATTTTGAAGCAAATCCTCATGTCACATGGACTATTACTAAACAAAGTGGATAGGTGGCCAGTTGGTGGAGTATATCTTGAGCAGCAGTACAGGAGAATTTTCTCTATGGCTCTCTTATCTCACTACAAGCTCTCAGCAGTTTGTAGTATTTGTAAGAGGGATTTCAATGATAACTTCAAGGCTGATGATTCTAAAGCCTCCGGATCTGTTGACCTGAACACCTCAGTGTTAGCTAACCCTATCTACCCGAATACTCCATGGGCACCACAACTAAAGCTGTCTCCACATGCAAGAGCCTCCTTCTCTCTTAATGAGTCTGCTTAATGGTACCAACATCTACCCAGTTTTTCAAGCCAGAAATTACTTGTTAGCTCCATCATCTAGACTAAGTTTTGTGGGTTTTACCTTTTGAATACTTTTTATTTCAAGTTCAGGCTCTCATCATCCCTGCCTTGATTCTTGCAACAGGAGGCTTTCAAGCTTACTACCCACAACCTTTCAATTACCACCTACACCAACATGACAGAAAACTTTAAAACTCTTCAATGCTCCAAACTCCTAGGGTAGAATAGGAAGGACAGTCTAGATTTTAGGATTTTAGGACACTGAGCTATGGACTCAACTGCTATGTTTCAAGTCACAATCCCACTCCTTATGAGAAGTATGACTTTGGATAAGTTAATTACCTTTTGTATGAGTCAGTTTCATCATCTGTAAAATCAGAATAAATGAGAAAAGTAAAACCAATATACATATAAAGGTAGTTAGAACTGGTGCATGACACTAGCACTCTACTATGTTAGCTACCTTGAAACA